AGGAGCAAGCAGCCACGGAGAATGAACATGCAGCCACGGAGGAAGAGGAAAAGAAAAGAAAGGCTATTGTTCCAAGATCTGATGTATGGGGCAGCTTCAGCAAGGTAAAAATTTCCAATGGAGAGGAGAGAGCTAAGTGTAAATACTGTCAAAAGTTGTTTCGTTGTGACCCTAGGACAAATGGTACATCATCTTTGAAAAATCACTTGAAAATCTGCAAAAAGAATCCTAACAAGCCAGTAATTGATAACCAACGCACTTTGCAAATTACTCCTGGAAGTGGTGGTAGTAGTGTTGGTACTTGTTCCACATGGAAATTTGATATTGAAGACTTGAGGAATAGTTTTGCTGAAATGATAATTGAAGATGAACAACCTTTTGTCTTAAGTGAACGTCCAGGTCTTAGGAAGTTTTTGGCTAAAGCATGTCCACGGTTTACTTTGCCATCTAGAAGAACTACCACTAGAGCATGTGTCAAAGTGTATGATGTGCAAAGATTGAAGCTTAAGAAATTTTTGAAGGAAAATTGTGAGAGGGTTAGCCTCACAACAGACACATGGACTGCTAACACCAACCAAAACTACATGTGTGTCACTGCACATTTTATTGACAATGATTGGAAGCTCCATAAAAAAATCATAGGCTTCTTCCTAGTAAAGGGGCATAGAGGGGAGGATATTGGGAAATCTTTAGACAATTGCTTATCTGAGTGGAGAATTGATATAGTTTTGTCAATAACGGTTGACAATGCTAGTGCTAACAATAATGCAATTAAATACATGAAGAGGGTATTGAATGAATCAAAAGGATGCATTGCTGAAGGGGAGTTCCTTCATATGAGATGTGTTGCACATATTATCAACTTGATAGTGGCTGATGGTTTAAAAGAAATCAATAAATCCATTTGCCGTGTTCGTGCTGCTATTAAGTTTGTCAAGGCCGGACCAGCTAGGTTGGCAAAATTTAAGAAATGTGCTGAGTTGGCAAAAGTACAAACCAAAGCATTTTTGACACTAGATGTTTGCACTATGTGGAACTCAACCTACCATATGCTTAATATTGCCCAGCAATATGAGAAGGCATTTGAAAGGTACAGTGATGAAGACCCATATTACAAGCTAGATTTAGAAGGTCATGATGGGCCAGGAGTTCCTGAAAAATCAGATTGGGATAAAGCTAGGAAGATGGCTGAATTTCTTGAACATTTCTATGAACTGACTCTTCGTGTTTCAGCAACAAGTCGTCCAACATCTCACACATTCTTCCATGAAATTGCTGGTGTAGTTGTTTTGCTGAGACAGTGGTGCAACAGTGAGGATTTGTTGTGTGCAGAGATGGGTAAGAGAATGCTACTGAAGTACCAAAAATATTGGGGAGAGATAGGGCCGGGGGTTCAAAATCTGAATTTAATTGTTTTCTTCTGTGTAGCATTGGATCCAAGGTATAAACTTAATAGTTACATTAAGATGGCAACTATGGTCATGTTTGGTGATGAAATAGGAGAGCAATTGTGGACAACAGTGGTCAATTCCTTTCATTCCCTATTTCATGAATACAAAGAAATATATACTCCTAATGAGCCGGTAGCAGCACCTAATGATATTCAGGGATCACTATCAACAAGCAAGAGGCTCATGAGGTCTATAGTTGCACAACAAATGAGCAACAATGGAGCTTCAAGGAGCATTGCCAAATCTGAACTAGACAAGTACTTTTCAGAAGACAATGAGGAGGATACAAAAGGATTTGACATCCTTAAGTATTGGAAGGACAACTCAACTAGGCTTCCATTGCTATCTCGTATGGCCCGTGATCTCCTAGCAATCCCCATCTCATCCGTCGCTTCTGAGTCAGCCTTTAGTGCAGGTGGAAGAACACTAGATGACTTTAGGAGCTCACTAACACCAACAATGGTTGAGCGCCTAATTTGTGCAAATGACTGGCTTCGTGGTTGCAACTCTATTAGTGTTGAAGAAAATGCCAAAGATTTGTCCAAGCTTGAAGAAGGTGAAACATTTTAAGATGCAATTAGTTTACTTCTTATGTTAGTTTATTATTTATATTAACTGTGTTTCTTCTTATGCATAGAACTTGTTGGCCAAGACATTACAGAGGACACTAATGCTACCAAGGCCTAAAATTGTTAGTTTATTTCTTAGTTGAAAGAAGCAGCAGTATGCAAGGTATATATAATTCTCCTCCTAACCAAATGATTGAGTATATATACTAGCAGCTGAGTATTTCTTCTTCTCCACTCCAGGCAGCAGCAAAGCAAGCAGCACACATGGCATGGCAGCCAGCACTATTGGGTGAAGCAAGGAGCCCTAAGCAGCATGCAGCCGGCACCATTTTTGTGAATGTTTATGGCTATGGATGTGTGGTGAATGTTCGTTTGTATGGTAAATTGCAGCATCAGGACTATGTAGTATGTACTATGTTTTTACTTTGTTTGTTTCTATGTACTATGGTAAAATATTGTTCTGGTCTTCTGGATGTGTTTTTTACTGAGCTGTGTAGAGATCGGTTTTGTTGGTAAAAACCGAAAACCGAACCAAAAAAACCGAACCCGAATTTAGCGGTTTCCAGTATTTACGAAAACCAATTGGTTCTTGTTCTTTCGAAAACCGAACTCCATGTAACCGAGCCGAACCGAACCGAATCCTCGGTTTAAACCGAATGCCCAGCCCTTCTTGTCATATATATATATATGAGAGAGAATAAAATTTTCAATGTCTATTTATTTGGTGCAATCAAAAAATAATTATATTAGTTTGTAATATGTCGATGATAAGATTTTGTTAGCTTTTCCTAATATATTAATTTGGCATGTCTGTGTAAAAAAAATAAAATAAACTTTTTTTATTAATTTACAATTAACCTTCAGTTAGTTTTGAATAGCGATATGTTTTTTTCAATAAACCCTGCAAATTTGGTATTAATAGTGCAAATATTTTATGTTCATTTTTTTTAGAGATATGGAAAGTCGGGAATGGATGTATCATTGGCCGAGGTTTTTGTCTCCATATCGAGACATCTACTCAGAAGACCGTGAAGCCTTACATGCGCACGGACAGTGTGGGCAAAAATGTTAAAGGGTAATGATTGTTGAGTGGCATGTAAGCATCTACGAAATTATTAGTTATGTAATGGTGATATGTAAGGGGATATGTGTGCTCATATTGCAAATTGATGAACAATTGTACTCAATATTTTGCATATTAGTTTGTACTAATTTTTATGTGCAATTACCATTTGTAGGGTAAAATTTACAGTTTTTTATATTTTAATAGTTTTTTTAAAAGAGGTTTCAAAATTTAGTAGCAATTTTTTATGTGCACTTACCATTGTTTGAAAATTTTTTAAAAAATTTAAAGTAGTCATATTAATGTTTCAAACATTTAAGTAAGATTTACATTTGAAAAGTAATAATATTAAGGTTTGTATATTTGTATGTACAATTATCATTTTTATTACAACTACTGTAGACATTTTCAAATTACAAAAATAAATTAAAAAATATTTTGAAATAAATATATTCACCTCTGTAACAATCTTCGCAGGCAGACCGTCCGCCTACGAAGATAATAAAAACGATCTTCGCAGGCGGACGGCCCGCCTACGAAGATCATCTTTGCAGGCGGATCGCCCGCCTGCGAAGATCGTTTCCCTATATAAGGGCCCACCCACGGCGCCAAAATTTCTAAGTCCAGGCGGGAACCCTAGAAATTTTGGCGCCGTCAGGCCGCCAAATTTTTTCGCCGCCACACGCCTCCGCCGTCATCCGGCCTCGCCCGCCTGCGACCATCGCCCTCCGACCGTCGTCCTCCGCCGCTGCCGACCGTCGTCCTCCGCGCGCCGCCAACCTTCGAGCTCGCGCCGGCCGCTCCACCGCGCCAAAATCGATCCAGCTACACCATCGGCCGCTCCACCGCCGCCAGCCGCATCGCCGCCGCGTTATGCAGGCACTGAAGGTGATCGATAAAATGCTTGCTCGATGGAACGACGGCACGGAGGTCACAACTAGGAGTTCAGCGGTTGTGGAGGGGCAATGACGTTGGATTTGCCAGTGCAGAAGGCCCCAGGTTAGTGCCTGCTCCCACATGGTTTGTAAATTGTAATTCGGATTCCAGGCAATCCATTGAGTTGTGCAACGGCATTTCACTCTTCCATTTGCAATTGACATTGTTATCTAGATTTTTTAGCTTTTCGTAAAACTCATCCAGCTCGCTTGAGTTGTGCTGCTAGGCAAGCTTCCTGAATCTTAAGAGAATTTTGCGCATGTATTGAACTTCCAGGTAATTTGAAAATCTCCACTGTGCCAAAAATGCAGCACCTACCTTGGTTCATCTTCATTTCTCTCACCAATGTTGCAGTTCAGCATGCATAGACACAATGCAGGTCCCTATTCAGCTCAAATTGACATTCTGGACATTGGACCTCCTTGCCTCGCGCTGCAACATCACCACCGTTATCGCTACGTACAGACTGCTGCATTCTCCTTTCTGTTGGATTGGAGCTGGAGGGGGAACATTGATTTGTTCTTTCAAAATTCAGTAAATAGGCATTTGTACGTGTGGCATCTGATGGTTATATGCTATGGTCATTTTTCATTAAACGTTGACTCAACTTTGTGGTATGTTTTCAGTTTCATTTAGCCATTAAACTCTGGAGGGTGCTCTAGCGACAAGTGACGAATTCAAGAATCTTTGGGAGTGGAACACTGCTATGCCATAATGTAACTAGATGGTATATTTGAAGTCACAATATAAAAAAATATTATAATATATATATTTTGGTAACACTTTTGAGTTATGCAATATATGTAAATTTCTTAGTACCAAATGTTTGATAATCTTCCAATATATGTACATAATAATCTACCTGCAAGAATTTCTATTAACGGGTAAATTATTATTAAATTTACGGGCAAATTATTATTAAATTTCAAAAATTTCTACCTATCTTCACAGGCGGATTTTTTTTTTTGCAGGTGGCAGCTTCATATTTTCGCAGGCGGACCGGACTAGCCAACGTCCACCTGCGAAAATTATCTTCGTAGGCGGACGGCCGCCCCGCCTGCGAAGATCGGCGATCTTCACAGTCGTTTTCTTACAGGCGGACGGCCGCCCCGCCCGCGAAGACCGTTTTCGGCCGCTTGCGATAATGCTTTTCCTAGTAGTGTTTCTATATGTATAACAACTCACATAAATGGAGGCATTATTATACCTTCCAGAGGACTCTTCATAAGAAAAGGCAATCGTATAACGAAGAGGAGCATCTTGGCTTGTGTGAGGAACTCTCCACCAGTGGTGAGATGCTTGACATGGAAGGTAGCTCCACAATTAAGTGCCATGTAGCATAGAATCTCCGTCCACACCGCAGCAATCAGCTCCCATCGATCTCTTGCTTCTGGGATATTGAGCAACTCCACACAGACCTTGCGAGCTGTGGTAAGTGCAGGTCTACTCCGATGACGTACGATCATATCCGGAGAGTTATATTGCCTATCACCATCACGGAGTTCCTGGATGAAGCCATCTTCGTGAAGCTCATCGAGAAAATCAAGCATTTGCGAAGATGCCTGCACCTCCATTCGGCTTCTAGCAATCACGATGTGTCCATTGCTATCAACCATCATCCCATGCTTAGCCACAAGGTACATGATGTAACTGGACAAGTCCTTGCTAGGGTTTGTGAGCTCGCCAGGGCCATCGCCGGGCAGCAAGCATATGGTCGTAACCAAGTGCCAAGCAACAACGGTGGACACGAAATCCAGCTCTTGGATCTTGCTAGCCGAAAGTGCCCTGTGAGCTGGGCCTAGAGCAGCAGGATCACTGTCTCCGCCGTTGACTCTGTTGGCCACCCACAGAGCCCACTGGCCTTGGAACCTACTGAAGTCCCAGCGGTTGTTGTCTACATCGGTCGCTATTTCAAGCACTTTGTTCAGAAGCAGCTTCTTTACCTCAAGAGAGACAACGACGTGTGGTTGTGGTGTCTCGCTGTCGCATGGTGCCAGGATCCAGCGGATTAGCTTCCCTACGGCGCCACTAGCTGCTGTCTGTCGTCGTCTCTCCCTCTCCTGGACGCATGCATCAACCATGTTGTATTGTGCCAGCTTCCCTGACCACTCCCCTACATGGAGATGAAGATGCTTGACCACAGCGATGCCTGCCCAGCATGATGTGGTGAGTGCAATGAAGATGGAGGATATCTCCATTGCAATGGCGCCCACGAGCAGTATGTAAGATATGAGAACATCAGGTCTACTATATTTGAACTTACTACTAGTAGTGTTACCGGCCATGGCCCTAGCGAACAACACAAGAGCCACAGAGGTTAGGCCAAGAGAGACAAGCCATTGGAGCGCCGCCGCCATGGTTGGATTTGATTTTGATTTTGATATTGGGAAGGTTTGGAATCGAACTGTGCCGAATTTGGTGTACAGGTAGTCATAGATCAAAGAGACCTGCATCTCAGCCAGCTTGTATGCCATCCCGTATCCATTCTTTGAAGACTTGATCTCCACCAACGCATTCTTGATCCTATGGTACCTCGAGTAGGAACCGCTTACATTTGAAGGGCTCACGTCCATGAAAAAGTCCAAGCTTGCTTGGAACTCCATGGAGGCCTCCTTCAGGATGCTCTCGATACTTACCTTGTCTTGTGAACTAATACTAACCATGCTTCTATAATGGGCCATCACACCACGCCCTGATTCCGGCAGCACATCAGCAAGGCTAGTAATGAAACTAGCAATATTGCTGTAGGTGCGAGCAGCAAGGCTAGCAATGGAACTACTTCCGGGTGCCCGTGCGGCGGCTGACCTGAGCGCCCATATTCTCTCGCCGTACTTGACTGCTCCCAACACGAACACGAGCACCATGGGAGCCACCAGCAATCTATCCCCTTTCCACTGCTTGCCCACCACGTACACGGACATCGTCACCTGGGCTGCCAGGTCCAGCAGCCGCCGCATCCACAGCGTGTTGTCCTCCATGGAGAAGGCCGTGATCGTCTCCTGCCCACCCAAGTGGAGCAGCAGGAACGGCGCCCAGAACAGCGCCAACTGATGCCGCGTGTCACCGGCTGCGGCCAACAGGAATGACAGACGGCCTAGGACATAGGTCGCCACGTAGTCGGCCATCAGGTACGCCACCCATAGCGAGCCATTCAGCAGCCTGGAGCCGTGGCGCCTGCGAAATGGTGCCGACAGGAGGAGGAACACCTGCAGGGAGAAGCTCGCCATCACTAGGCACTGGATCTCCCACTTGTTCCACGCTTCTTGAACACGAGTAGCCAATGAGCTGCTGAGCATGCAATGCATAAACCCACATATTACTACCTAGTTAGCAGTTTAATTATCATTAAGTAAATAATCTAGTACCTCCATTCTCTTATAATCTAGTTTAACTGACCATTTGTAGTAATCATCAATTTACTGCAACTTTATTTAGACATTTCAGACAACTGCAACATTAATATATACTGTACGAGATTTTATTAGAAAGCTATAACTTTATTGCTTGATAATTGGACCCACTGGTTAGTTAATTGTATCCTAATGGTTCACTTGTTTTGCGTATTTTTTCGATCTTCTTAATCCTTTACTTCCGTGGTGGAGTAGGGCGCCTCGGCTTGTACCGGGAGGTGCCCGGGCTCCGTACCACACAACAACACATTGCTCCATGGCATAAACATCATTTACTACTTAATTTGAACCTAATTACCTTGCTTCCTGGTTCTAGTGGATGTTAATTATATGTTTTGCCAACAAACAAGCAAAGCAAGGACAAAATCATTACGTTTGTAACCATGAGGCCAAAGCAAAGAGTTGCAGCCCTATAGTCTAACTCACTGACGATAAACAGCCATCATCTCATTGATAAATTATCGCTGGGCACTAATTAACTTAACTTACATATATGATAAATAGTACAATTTTCTATATATAGTTTTTCTCTTATTAGGTTTGCCCAGGCTCAAAATTATTGGCTCCGACACTGCTTTAATCTTAAACACTCTCTTAGTCTTGACATAGTTTAAGTTTGACCAAAGTCAAAACTACTTATAAGCTTAAACGAAGGGAGTAGTAGATAGGGTAAGTCTCAGATGGATAACAACGTGAAAATCGTTAATGTAGGTAATATTAGCGCGGCGTAGGTCTAGATGGATTACGACGTGGAGACCGTTATGATGTCTATACTACTTCCATCATTGACTTATGGGCTCTTGTTGTCAGTGACTGATTTTGTAGCCTGTATGCCTCCCAAATTCAACTACCTAGATTCAACATCAGTTTCTTTTGGAATGCAGTAATACTATAATGACATTTTTTTCACCACCTTGAGGCAATCAAAGTATACACATATGATTGAACCACTATAATCATTGGCAAGGCAAAGAGCTTCTAAACTTGCTGCAACAAATCTACTTTGTGAAGTGTTATGCTCAGCGACAAAATATATATGTTTTCTTGAGAAATATTTACCCATCTTGTTCGATATTTTCATATATTTTATGAAAATCTGTTGTAATGCACAGACATTTCGTTAGTATATATAAATAGATTTGGGCGGCTAGCTGCTATTGTAAATAACACTTGTTTCATCGAATAATTGTTTGAATAATGCATATTAGGGAAAGACGTACGTGTAGTGTTAGTACCTACAGTTTGGTCAAATACGTTGTTTGAATTACCTGTATTGAGCAGAGCCATCTTGATAATCTCTCAGCGGCCTCATGTCGATGACACGCCTAGAGCACAAGAAAGGATTGAAATGAATATATGTCTATCGATGCATGCAGTTTGAATACTATAGTCTATATCTCGGCCGTTGTTAATTTATAGATGATCGCCCATGCGTACGTAAATAGCCGTACGTGCTCCCTTTTTTTGCCTGGACACGCTGAAGCCTGCTCATATGCTTAGTGCTTTGCTTTGCTTCCTAGCTCTCAGTGCAGGAGATGCCAGATTCCTAACTTCAATCAAGTCTAGCTTTGCTTGACGACAGAAATATGCTCTAGTACTTTGCAAAGATTTAAGAGAGAATCCATTAGTCTATATTACTTAGTTTATTTATTTCTGTTCAACGATTTACCATTCTATACCACTTAGTTTTTTCAGTTTAACAAATTACCATTAACATTGTCCATTTCTATAATATACAAACAAAATTATCAATTTTTCTATAATATGTTATTGATCTGGATTTTTTTAAGATACTCCATACATGGTTAACAATTGATTTATTCTGATAGAAACTTTTAAAGATATGATTTTTTTTATGTAGCATCGTCGCACAACATGAAAGTTTGTATATAAGTTTCAAATCTTTTGGTATATTTATTTTTTAAAAAAACATATTTTTGTGTGGTATATGATATATCTAGAAATTGCTTATGGAAAAAAAATAATGGCACAAAAATATTTTGTGTAGCATATAAAAGATGAATTACGTTAAAAACATCAACACAAAATTATTCCATGTAACATATAACAGATAAATTATATTTTATAAGAAAAATAGAAATGCAAAAGTCTCGAAACATGTACACAAAATTTTACATTGTGTAAAAAGGCTAATGAAATCATGATTGTTTTGAAACACATGATAGGAAAAATCAATTGTTAACTTTGTATGTTTACAAGGGTATTTTAGGTATTTTTGGAAACAAGGTTTAGCCAAATGCTATATTGTAAAATAATTAATAAATTTACCGGTATATTATAGAAAAGACAATGTCAATGGAATTGAAAATCATTAAACTGGGACAAACTCAGTGGCATATATAGCATAGATTCTCTCTTGGTTTAAGTTCTAAACACTAAAACTTAATTTGGTTCATACTTTATCTATCTACTTAATAATGTGCTATACCATAATCAAATGGCTGATTAATTGTTAGCAGCAGCAGAATTTTCTTCGGCAAAAAAAAAAAGGTTTGCAGCAGCAGAACTAAGGATGAGATTTGCTGCACTTCGTGTACACGGACACATTGCCGGATCGAGATGGCCATGCCGCCGCGGCGGCTGAAAAAAGTTGGTCTGAATTAAGTTGGGCTGTGTTTAGATCTAAAATTTGGATCCAAACTTCGATCCTTTTTCATCACATTAACCTGTCATACACATAACTTTCCAGTCACATCATCTCCAATTTTAACCAAAATTTAAACTTTGAATCAAACTAGGTCTATTAGAATAAGTTCAGCAGGCGCGTTGACACGAGCATGAAGATGACAGCGATGGCTGGTTTGTCCACCGGTGAAAATCCTCGTGTGAAGAGCCAGGGCGTTATCGGAATCTTCCTAACTCTAACTCTAGAGCTCAACGTTACAATTTACAATTTTTTTTCCATTATGTTTTAATTTTTAATTTCAATAGATATTTATGTTTAATTTATGAACATATAATGATTTAATTTATTCCATAAATAAATCATAACATTGCATATTTAAACTAGCATAAACGCATCATAAGATCTACATATGTAAACTTATCGAATATGCGTAATATGCTAAACACGTACCGAGGGTACTGGAAGAACGGTTGCCCAGCAGGAAGTACTCGTGGTTCCGGGCTTTGACGGTAGCGCGCAGCACACGAGCGAAAAGGAAGACGAGTCGTTGTGGTCGAACAGGGAGCAGTGGTGTAAAGCGCTTCCCAAAAACCTTATTACCGTTTTCTCCTGGTGCAGGACGTCGAAAGCGAAGGTTCCGGAGACCTTTTCTTCCGATCGCCGCTGCACACCGGCGAATGGGATAGAGTAGACTACGAGCGACAGCGCGGTGCAGAGGAGGAGGCAAACCCTAGATTGATTTCGCGTGTGTTGCGTGTAGGCGGCGGCTTAACTTATATAGAGATGTTATGACGCTTGATCAGGACGCCTGCACGATCTAACCGAACTGGATAAGTCGTGCGCAACTTATCCAGACTCTACGCCATTTCACGCACCGGATTATTCCGAGTATTTCCAAAACAAACAAATCTGAATTTCTCGCAGCAAAACAAAACTTCGCTCCGCATAACCGAACCGGATAAGTCACGCGTAACTTATTCGGACTCCACGCCGTTTCATGCACCAGATTATTCGAACCGGATAAGTCGCGCGTAACTTATCCGGACTCCACGCCGTTTCACGAGTGAGGAACCAATTTTGGGACTCCACGCCGTTTCACGCACCGAATTATCAAATTTGAATTTCCCGCAGCAAAAAGAGGCTGGCATGTGCGCAAGAGTGAGAAACCAATTTTTTGGCAGAACGCGCGCCGCCATGCCAAGCGAGGCAAGCAAGCGCGTGTTCCCCCTCTTCTCTCCACCTTACATGCCTCAAGTGGCTAGTAGAGCACATCCTCTCTTATAAGGAGGTCTCCCTCTCCTAAAATAGGTAAGATGGTACTAAACTACTCATGCATCATATCCCATGAGGTGGCTTTTGTGATTTTGCAAAAAATAATCTTTGAATAGAGCAGACTGTAGCCCTAAGCCCCTAACTGCCCTAAGCTCCTAACTACCCTACTTCTAGCGAGAGAGATGGTCTAGCTGCAGGAGGCGGAGGAGCCGTGGTGGATCCTTGCCTCCCACGACTACGAGCACGAGCCCTTCTTGTGTCCAGCGTTTATTATTTGGTTTGAAATTTTTGGGAAATTAAAAAATTTTGAACCTCCCAACATGAAACTATTTCACCTAAATTTTTAATCTTCAATTTTTTATATGAAATTTATCCAAATCTTAAAAATGTGAAGTTCTGAAATATTCCGAAAATTCGATCCCTTTGATATATTTGTGGATATTAAAATAGCTAGTAAACCCTACCAGCCCCACAACATGCCCGGGGTTGAATCCTAGTTATACTAGATTTGGAGGCCTTTTTGTCCTACCAAATTCCCTTGAATTAATCATACAAACCAAACGAGCCACACAAGAATTATTCCTTTTTGGACTGAATTCATCTATCGTCCTTGTTTTGTTGGAGGTGAAGGCGGCAAGCAGTAGGTGCACTTGCATCCGTCAGGCGTACAGTTGCCATCAGCGTTTGGGGGAACCTGGATTTTACAGTAAGTTTTGCACGACGATGGAAAACACGGCCCTGGATTGACGATAGATCCGCACGACGAATCTTGGGGGTTCGTCGATGAGGGTTCTTCATCTGCCATTATCACCTTCCTCGCCATATCTACAACAGAAAATAAAAAAATTTAACAGAGCACTTGTTTAGTTTCAAACTTTTTCTTCAAACTTCCAACTTTTCCATCACATCAAAACTTTTCTACACACACAAACTTCTAACTTTACCATCACATCATTCCAATTTCAACCAAATTTCTAATTTTAGCGTGAACTAAACACACCCAGAAAGAAGCCTACTTCTAACACTTGGTTGTTTGAAAAACAATTAATAGGGTCCTCTGTGAAACTTCATGTTCCTTTTTAAGGGATGGAACTATGGATGAATGCAAATGCTTTTTGATATGACTTGCTGTAATCATATCTTTCGTTCTAAACAATACATACAAAAAAAAATCTAAAATTTAGAATCCATAAAAAATCCTTCAAACTTCATTCGGTTCAACGGAACAGGAAATGGGAGAAATGCTCAGGGGTCTTCCGGCTAGCTCCATAAGGTGGTGGGCTAGACGACCTAGATTCGAAGCCTCATCCTTTCTAATTATTTGATATTAGGTCATTCCTTAATATACATATTAGGTCATTCCCTAATATTTCCGTTTTGGAGTAGGAAATGGAAAAAAAAATACATACCTGAGCACTGCACCACAAGGGCAAGGGACAACAATAGAACACCGAATTGTAACTTCATCCTAGCTAGTTTAATGTGGAAATTCTGAGAGCGATTGCAAGCTAAAATGATTGGGTGTACTCTCTAGGCTAATGTCGTTGGCCGAAGCGTTGATCTTTTATAAATGGACATTGCTGCTACTCATATGTGGAATAATGCGATCTGTATTAAACGAAAAAGATTACAGCTCATAATGGACATCGCTGCGAATTCATTATTGGAGATATGGTCTGCATTAAACGAAAAAGATTACAGATAAAATTGTAATCAATAAGGCTTAGATAGCAATATGTCATAGTATATAATGTTTTCTATATATATATATATGGTCAGCAGGATAAGCATAAATACTTAGAAATTATTTACATTGTAAGAATATACTTCCTCCGTTTCATATTATAGGACTTTCGAGTATTACCCATATTTACATAGATGTTAATAAATCTTGACACACATGTATCGGTACTTATAATCAAATTGAAATAGACTTATTGGAGGGAAAGAGCTCGCTGAAAAATACTATCTCTTGCGTTGTACAATGGCCGGGGCTTTATTGTTGACGGACGATTGAGATGCTCTGATGCAATGCCGGAGCCACAGGGGTGGCGAGCAGAGGCCTGGTCTCCTCCAACAAAATTATTTTTTTAAGTACCAGCTAATTAATTAACCACATGATTATTATCTCAGGCATCGACATGATTATCTCAGGCATTAGTACATTAGGTCCCATCCTGTACTAGTAAATCACGTATGAGTATGACAGCCATGCTTTGGTATTTGGAGTCTACGCCATTTTAGCCTGGTGTTTGCTCAGGGTGCATGTGTAACAGTATGTAAACACACCAAATTGTGAAGGTTTCGACTGCTCCAAACTCCGACAGTAGACAGGTTCACTCTAATTTTGTGAAATAATTATAAGATCGAACACAGGTAACAAAGCCTACCAGAGAAGGGTGAATGGTAGATTACATCAGCGGAAATCAAATAATCGAATATACGTTTGATGGTCTATT